GCACCTGCGGAACTTCATGAATACCAAACCAGCACTCCAAAAAATTTTAGACAATATCCTAGGAAAAGACAATGAGGATCACAACCCCAGGAAGACCTGCAAAATGAATCCATTGGGCACGATAAGAAATTAAACCCAAAGGGGGAGAATCCAACAAAAACAAAAAGTCATGACATGGATAAGTCAATACATATCAGTTATAATCATCAATGTTAATGGTCTCAATTCACCAATCAAAAGAAATAGACTCACAGAATGGGTCAAGAAGCAAGATCCAACAATATGCTGCATACAAGAAACACACTGAATTCAAAAAAAGAAACTCATAGACTGAAATTTAAAGGGTGGAAAACAATACTCCATGTGACAGGAAACTGAAAAGAAGGAGTAGCTATCCTCTGCAGATCAAGTGGATTTCAAACCAACACTCATTAAGAAAGACAAAGAAGGACACTGCATCCTTGTAAAGGAGAAAATCCAACAGGAAGAGATGACAATCATAAATATATATGCACCAAACATAGGTGCCCAACTAATAAAACAAATACTAATAGACGTGAAAAATCATGTAAGCACTAAGACAATAGTAGTGGGGGACCTCAATACCCCACTGTCACAAATAGCTAGATCAACTAGACAAAAAATAAGCAACAAGGGCTGGGGATTTAGCTCAGTGGTTCCAGCGCCTGGCTCGAAAGCGCAAGGTCCTGAGTTCGATCTCCAATACCAAATAAATAAATAAATAAATAAGTTAAAAACAATCAGACCTCCCAAATTTAAAGACCCAATACAAAAATGGGCATCTGAAATGAACAGATATTTCTCAGATAAAGATGTGGAAAGAGCAAATAAACATGAAAAAACATTCAACATCATTGGTCATTAGAGATATGCAAATGAAATCAAAACTGAGATTCCACCACATCCCAGAAAGAATGGCTATTATCAAGAAATCAACCAATAACAAATGCTGGCAGGGCTGTGGGGGAAAAGGAACCCTTCTCCATTGTTGGTGGGAGTGTAGACTGGCACAAACACTGTGGAAATCAGTATGGAGATACTTCAAAGAACTAAGATAAGAGGTCTCATTTAACCCAGCTATTCCCTTGCTGGGTATCTCTCAAGAATTAAAAGAATCATAGCACAGTGATATATGTGCACTCATGTTCATAACAGCACAGGTTGTGATAGCTAAAACTTGGAAGCAACCCAACTGGAGACTGGACAGAAAATGTGTTTTTTTTATAAAATGGAATATTACTCAGCCATAAAGAACAAGAAACTAGCGACATTTATAGCTAAATGGATGCACACTGAGGCTATACTCTTAAGTGAAATTAATAGGACACACATGTGTAAATACAGAATAGTTTCTCTAGTGTCAGAAAATGAAAGTGTAAATACGGACTAAAAGGTGTGATAGATAATGTGAAATAGGAAAAGATGCAAAGGGAAAGGGGAAGTAGGAGGGGTAGGGGAAAGGAAAGAAGGGAATGGAATTAATATGAGAAAATGAAAAAGTGGAAACACACTCTTTGTAGATAGGGAGGGCTGGAGGGGTTGAAGGGAGGGCAGGGGAAGGGGGAAAAATAAGAACCAAGATGGATTATGTAAAGGTGCAAATTTCCAATGATGAATGCCATTATATTGTATACCTAAAATGTACCAATAAAATTAATTTTTAAAAAAGAAATTATTAGAGTAGTTGGAATAATAGCTTCACATTTTATCATTATCTTACTTTTAGATAAAATGTAGGAATTGCAAGAATTATATCAATAAGGCTGACACAAGCACACAAGTACAAACAAAAAAACTCTGTCCTTCCCATGGATGGCTGAAATCTCCATTTTTCCTTATACATGGAATCAACTGGCATGGCTGCTTTGGGTACATCCTTTCATCCCAAATGTCAGGGAAGGTTAGGGTAGACTGACTACCAAAACAAACACCTCAATGTCTCAGTGGCCTAACGTATGAATGGTTTATCTCTTCTTCACATTGCATCCCAAGGCAGCTAGGGTTTTTTCCTTTCCAGGCTCCTCCTATCTGTGGCTCCATCATACCCTAGGACCTCAGAGAGCTCCCCTGACCCCCTGAAAGTGGCCAGCAGATTTGAAGGAGAGTGAGCATGGAAGGCATCCAGTCTGTACTTCCTCCAATGTCCATATACATTCCATAGGCAACAACCAATCATGTGGCCTCACCTATATTCAGGAAGTGGTCTAGTACAGTGCTTATCAACTGTGAGGATTACACCTCCCAAGCAATATTTGGCAATGTGTGGACACATCTCTGATTGTCACACCCAGAGCAACTGGAATCTAATGGGCAGAGTCCAAGGATGCTACTAAACATACCACAGTGCAGAGGACCGTCTCCCTGCAACAAAGAATTATCCAGCCCCAAATGTCAACATGCTAAGATTTTGTTAAACATCTCATCAGTCTCTGACACAATCATATAACATGTTCACACTCAGGCCTATCATCACTTTCCATTAACATACATACTAATCAATTCCAGCAAACCTATGTGTCAATATTTTTTTATTTAAAAAATAGTTTTACAGTGCTCACTTTGGCAGCACATAAACTAAAAAATAGTTTTACATTGGTCTGTTAATTCCTTTCTCCATTCATGTATTACAACTGCTTAAAAAGTCAAGGTCTTAACAACAGTCAATGAATTCACAGTGAATCAGGGGAGACAACCATACACAGAATTATCACACAGAGGAAGTGGGATTTCAAAGAATAAATGGATACAAAATAATTCTGCTGGGGCACATACCTACAGGGTTCCATCCACACGTGCTTCAGGGAAGGGACCAAGGCAGGGCAGGGAGATGCAATGTTCCAGAAAACGTGAACCCTGTGAACAAAGGAATGGAGCCGCAAAAAAGCAGGATTTATTCTACTTTATGGTATGCAGAAAAACAGTCATTAAAAGAGGAGGATTGTAAAAATTCTTCTTTGTTCAAATATAATTTTTTAGCAATACAGTCATGAAAGTCATAGCTCCCAGCCTCTGATGGAATCTCTCACTCCACAACATACACGGGCTTTCAGTCCAGTGACCTTCCAGAAGCAACTCCTACCCAAGACTTCAGACAAAAAGCATCAGACAGCACAGGCCAAAGCTCAGACTCAGTGGAATCTCACTATAAATCTCCCTAAAGGACTCGACACCAACCCTTTCAAACAACACTGGCAGATGGGTGACCAAAACCATCCACCTTTGCTCACGAAGTCAGATCCTGTCATATGCTACAAGGGACAGAATGCAATGAATGTTTAAAAAAAAAAAAACTATGACAGTATAAGATACATTGCCAAGAATGACGGGCTGGATAAGTGTGTTTGAAGTGAGGGGGAATATTTGGAGAATTTTGAGGATTAAAGGCAATGTGTCTTTAACTGTAATAAATTTTTTAAAACTGAAACATCCCTGTAGTTTTTGATCACCTCCTATTGATCAAACATTTATGGCAATTTCTATGAAATGAAATCATCACAGTGTACCTTCTTTCATTCACCTTATTCACTGGATATGATATTCTGCAACTTCTGACTCTTCCCAAAATCAAAATGACCACTAATGGTGAGTATTTTGAAACAATTCAAGACACTGAGGCAGCCACCACAACATAACTAAAGACAGGAAAGAGGACGTCCAGAACTGCTTTAGAAAGTGGCAAGAATGATGGGATGTGTTTAAAGAGTGATGGAGTATTTTGAGGGCGGTTAATGTCAATGTGTCTTTTACAGTAATATCTTTTTCAAGCTTTCAACATTTACTGTAGTTTCTGACCATACCTCATGTTTTGTTAAACTTTTTTTTTAAAGAGTTTCCGCTTCTTTCACTCCTTTATCCTGGATGAGTGTAGCTCACAGCAGTAGGTGAGGAGACAGGCTAAACCACACTGCCAGGGCCACATCCCACTCCACCGTAACTACCCCGCTCCCAGTAACCTGGGCCAATCTACCTGGCCTTTCCCAGTTCCCCACCTCCCAATGTGCTTAAAGCAGTTTCAGCTCAAAATGCCTAAAGCATGTAATAAACACTATTAGATCTGTACGACAGTTCTCTCCTCACCCTCCAACATTGTTTCTGCTATTATGAAACATGTTATAGAATCCAACACTGGGAAGAAACGTATTTGGCAACCTTCCCTGTCATTTTATAGAACATCACTAGTGAACAACTTCCACTTGCTCTGAGCAAGATGTGTTTACTTATGAAGCTAACATCACCAAGTAAACAGCAGTTGTCCTTGATTTTGAAATCAAACTTGAATTTAAAGTTACCATATAGTCCTACATAATTCTTTACCTCCAATCATCTATCTCTTCACTCTCACTCCCTCAAGCCATTGTCTCTCCACCCTTATTTTCACTTTGGTCAGCTTCAGGGGAAACCAGGTGTATTCAGCCCTTAAGTACTCTAGATTATATCTAACAACACAGTCACCTCTCACTAAAAAGCCTCAAAAAGGAAAAAAATTGTTTCTTTGTAAGTCAGAATCTCAAGAGAGAAATAAATGCGGGAAGCAGGCTTCAGAACCTGCAGGACAACGAAGAGGTTCACACCTGCTTCCCGGGATGGAGAGGTAGGAATTCTGGACAGCAGGCAGACAATGCATCCTTAGGATTTCAGGGTAAGTGAAACCATATTCACCTTTACTAAAAGTGGTAAGGAACCCAGCAGCATTGCCCTTTGCAAGAGACAGGGAGTCAAATAAAAGCTGAGGCAACTAGAGCTAGGCTGAGTCAGGTTTACATTTGGAAAGTGATTATCACTGCCTTTCTAATTTACAAGGAATTCTAAATCGTCCGGATGGCATCTCTTTTTCAATTTCCATTGCATAGGAGGTCTGGCCTCTGGCCTCAAGAGAATTTTATTCTAAGAAACACAGTAGAAAAAGGGTTTAGCATCTCTGTCGACAGGCTGCACATATAAGATGAAATGGATTCTGAGACCTGACACTCTTTTTCCCTTTTTAGTGAAGACATTTTTTTCCTTGTAAATTAACAAATAAGTTGTAGAGCAGGGTGACTGCCTTGAGATGCAATTCTCAAATACTTTATTTATTATTTTGTTATAAACCCAAGGGTATATGAACAATTAATTTTAATAGACCTGACTCCCCCACTGGAAAGAAAAGGAAATTACTGATTGCACAGAAATACTAACTCTTCAAACTAATATTGAGTATTCTGTGTATAGAAATAAAAGCAATTTATTAAATGCATTGTGTGCCTCAAAGATCCCCCTTCCATAAAGAAGCTATTTACCTTTCTCTTAGGTGAAGTAATAGACTATGAAGAAATCCAGCTCATCAGCAACACAGTGAATATGGTGTCTCAGTGTGCATAATGATTACATGGGAAACAGATGACATAAGTGTCTCACAGTTGCCTTCACATGCTATGTGCATGAGTTTCAGAGCTGGCAACCAACAAACTATTGTTGCTGGCAATTTGCTGCCAGTTCTGTTGCCAAAAACCCCCAACCCTAGATAAACAGTTCAACTTCCTAAGAGAAAAGGAAAACAAAGGATGAACATCTGAGGCATCAGTGCAATACTAGGAGACTCTGAGACATGTCCAAGGCCTTATCAGCTTTCATCAATCCCACATCTCTGCCACAGTATGGAGCCAAGCCTGATTCCCTTCCCTACCTCCTCTTGGTATGACAGGCGCATCACAAACTCCCTTTGCACATTTAGGAAGAAAGCCCTAGGTACTATGTATGTGGTACTTTCAGGCCAGCCCAGACTCCTGTCATGTTTACAATACTAATGGGTTCCAGAAGCATCCTGGCTGCAAACAAAAGACAAAGCAGTTCAACTGCAAGAATCATATGGTTCCAAGAAGAAAAAAAGAGCACAGGTTCATACATGAATGCACTCCAGATATCAGTGCAAGAAGAAACCCAAAATGTATTTGGTATATGCATCTTCAGATCCACTATAGAAGAGCTCAAAGAGAGTAAAGCATAGACTGGTTCAAACCAGACAATAATCAACAACTCTTCAAAAATCACTAGCTGGGTATGGTGGTACACACCTGTAATCCCAGCACTTGGGAGGCTGAGTCAGGAGGAGGGCTACAAGTCTGAGCACAACCTGGGCTACACAGTGAGGTCAAGGCCAGCCTGAACTACAGAGCAAGACCCTGTCTTGAAAAAAAACAGCACTGCAGACTAAACTGAAACACAGGTCCCAGGGGCTCCTCCAGCTTCCCTGTGCAGGCTTCAACCTTACCTCTGAGCCACTGTAGTGGCTCATGTCTATAATCCCAGAACTCTGGGAAACTGAGACAGGAGGACTGCAAGTTCAGCTTAGGCAACTTAAGAGACTCAGGGAGGCCCTGTCTCAAAATAAAAAAGGGTTGGAAACCTAGGCCAGCATGAAACCCCTGGGTTCATTCCAAGTATCAAGGAATTCTGAGGAATAAATTGATTCTGAAAGTCTTCACTGAATGTCTGCTGTGCACCAAGCACTGCCTGTGCAACAACCTTGACAAGCACAGCAATGATAAATGTTTAGAGGGATTTCTAAAACATCTCGTTAATTTCGTATTATGCTGTATACTCGTATTTATTGAATAGTCTACTTTCTTTGTCTTTATTAAAATTTCTTTTCTTGAGCCAGGGATTTAGCTCAGTGGTACCACCGCCTGCCTTGCAAGCACAAGGTCCTGAGTTCAATCCCTGGTACCAAAAAAAGTAGTAATGGAAAAAAAAAAAAAAAAGACCTCACTCTAACCCACAGATTCATAAATCAAAAGATTTACAAAGTCAGTCTGTGTCCTTCCCTCTTCTTCTTCTTCCCCTAATGCTATTTCCTCGTGCCTGGCCATGGGATGCCTGTGTCCCTGGACACAATGACCACAGAACAAGACAGGACCCCTAAGTAGGGTGGCCAGTTTTCCTGGAACTGTCGTGATTTTCAAATTCCATGACCTTGGTATTCCTAATTGTGGGGCGATATAGGGATCACCCTACCTCCAAGAAACCAGACCCCAGGAAAGGGGAGTCCATTGCAGGACATCCTCCACTTGGCCTGGGTAGGGTGAGGCCACAGAAGACTCTGGGATCTTTGAAGACAGGTTCAAGTTAACTCTTCACACTGCTCGCAGCGCCACTGAGCTAAATCCCTAGCCCTAAACTCCAAACTGTTTAAGCAAAGTTTCAGTCTTTCATTGGAAGATTTTCCAATGAAAAGGCTTTAGTGACAATGAGGTACAAAAGAAATCCTCACATAAACAAGGGCTGTGATTATGTAGATGTAGTTATCTTCTTAGCTAGTTTAAGGGCTGCTTCAGGTTAGACTAGGCCTATTCGAACTGTTATTTCCAGAAGAGAGCATTGACTTGCAGATAGTAGATGCTGAAAACAACAAGAATTAATAAATAGCAATTTATTTAGTGCGCATGATGTGTGGGGTAACACATGAAGCACAGTGGATGAATTATTTCTCTTATTCTTGCAACTACTCAATGAGGTTGATTCTCCATTTTACAGCCAAAGAAACCAGGGCCAGGGATTTAACTCAGAGGTTTAGCTGCCTGCTGCGCAAGTGCAAGGACCCGAGTTCGAGCCTCGGTACCAAAAAAAAAAAAAAAAGAAACCAATGCTCAGACTTTATTTACTCACAATCATATGGCAGAGGTGAGGAAGAACCCAAAATCACCTCACTTTTAAAATGCCATCCATCTCTTTAACCACTCAACTGAATTAGGAGCAAATAAGATATATATTAAGGAATCAAGAGTTAAGAGAAAAGTTTTAGGTACATTTATTTATTCCTTCCCACTTTAGACTGGCCAATACAAAAAAATAAAATCAATTATGTGTTAGGTACACAC